TTCCTGCTTCCTACTCCCTCATTATACATAGGCTACACTGTGCTTATTGTGTAAAGCCACATATACTACTAGACTTTTAGATAATATTTTCTATTTTTTTCGATATCCATTTTCAAAATTCTCCAGAGAGATCACAATCATTGAAATGCCCACAGTGCGTCACATAAGCCATTGCCATGACCGTATTTTTAATCAGTGATAAAGAATACAGTGGTGAAATGCTGCATTCCACAAGCGAAGAAGGGCAGATAAGGTGAGTCCAAGTAAAAAGCTGACTTACTGATTCTTAGCTGAGAAATAAGCTTCCCTATTTTTATCTAAAAACCTGTATGTATACTATCTATAATTTGAATCTAGGAAAACTTTATTTAATTATATTTGTTTTTACCTTGATTCTTCAGGACTGGGATTACAGTCATTTGGGGTGCCTCCTCTTTGACTTGTTACTGGCAAATCTGAAATTTTCAGTGCTTCACCTTCTGCCTGGATTAAAAATTCTGATTTTTTTTGAGAATTCTGATGAAACTGGAACTCGGCACAAAAGTCGTCTTCTTTCTGTTCCAGGATGTGTGTTTCTAATTGGAAATAGATGCAAAAAATTGGTTTTTTTGGTTATTTTATTTGGACATAGAAGCACAAACTTGAGATTTCTCATTTGAAAATGGCAAAAAGAAGAATATTCTCTAGTTTCAGATTCACAGCTTCCTCATTACACTAAGTAACAAGAGCTGTGTCGCCTAGAGCTGTAGAGATGGATGTAGGAGTTATGACCTATTTACTAGATATTTCTCATGGAAACATGAAAAATTCATCACCATTTCCTAACTCCTCTTCCTCTTAAATGACTGCTTAAAATAATGCTGACCCTAGGAAATTATATACCTATCTTTTGTAAAAATAATCTCTATCCTAATAAAACATGATGAATTTCTGCTGAGACAGGGAAATTTGCAGGTTGTGAACTAGATTCTTATTTATATTGAGGTCTTTTTCAAATCCATTTTGGCAACAAAAGGAATATCACCAAGCTGTAATTAGCAACAACAAATTTAAGGCCTCAGTATTCACTCCTGCAGAGTGTAAGGTAAAGGCTCATTCAACTAAAGAACTCAAAGAATGCAAAGCACAAAATGTGCCAAAGGGAAAATTATGTGATTAAAGCGTTGAGTGTGATAGTTCTCTTAAGTTTGGCTACTAGATAATTTTAGGACATATTTCTGAAATCAAGGTATTTAAATGAAAGAAATATCTACATACCATGAATGTTCTTTCATAAAGTAAGAACAAGTAAGTGTTAATTATAGAACTATATTAAAAAATAAGGAGAAAGAGGCCTAAAAAAGCTGCAAATGAGAAAAAGTGTATATATTCTTCATTCTTTCATTAGTAGAGAGCAAACACTGGAGCTTTTGCTCATTTAATAAAGTTAGTATTTCCAAACATTTTGCTTAAATTATGTGGTATACATCCTCTGATCCAACTTAATACTTCCTCCTCAAAAATAATAAGAAACTGACTACACAGTTGCAATCATCTACAAATAGCCTGAAAATACACATCAATCAGTCAGTATCAAGGTATCATGCTACATGTACGACACAAAAGCACAGATGCCAAGTCAAAAATATTGAAGACTGTCTCTAGAATTTATTACAACAGATTACTCTTTCCTTGAAAAAGAAAAGACACAGCCAATGGCACAGGAAACATCCTGAGGGCACAGACAGATGGCTTGTGGACTGACTGGAGTCAGTTGAAGAAGTTCCCATACAAAGCAATGTACTATGACCCTGAGGAAAAAGCTGTTATACCTGCTGCTCATCCATATTCTCCTTATCTACTTCACATAAATCCACTTGAATCCAATCTCACCATTCCTTTAAAGTATAACCACTGATTTTTCTGAAAGAGGAACAACAGTGTACTAGAATTTTTGTGTCTGAGCAGTATTAAACATGTGGGAAACATAACTTGATAAAACATTCCTTAACAAGTATAACCTAACACTACTTTCACTACCGTGATTGAAATGTGTTCCTCAGATTATTTCACAGTTAATTCAGAAACTGAACAGCCCACAGCAACCTGGATTCTTTGAATAAATGTCTATTGTTCACTGGCTTAAAATCCTGTAGATTTTTGAAAAGAACCTTCCCTTTACGTGCTACTACATTTTAAAACTGGATTCAACCTCTTGCTCCTCCTTACAGTGAATAACGAGAATCTCTAAAGTAACAGGCATTAAAAAATTCACTATGTATACTAAAGTATAAGTGGAACCTGCCCCAACTTGGGGGTGGTAACACAAAAGGGCAACATTCGGAATTCCCTCCAGTTAGTACTATCTGAAAACAAACCTAGTCAGAATTTCATTAGTTGCAAAGCTTTTTGTAGGGAGGCATACACTTGGTTGAGATGCATTTCCCATTTGAGTTATAAGAACTGCCTATCACACCTCATCTTGACCACTTCTTCCACTTCAGCTGCAGTGATCTGTATACGCTTAGTTTCAGATTACGCTCTCATGCACTGAAGGGGAAGTGCAATGCTTCACTTGCCATAACAACTTTTCCTTCCCTTCTTCTTTAGGGCATCAACACTTTCTGTGAGCCATTTGAAGTACCTCAGGTAAACTGTGTTGCATTCTGTGGAAGAATTCAAGCACAACGTATCTGCTGCAGTAACCAGTGACATGAACCTTTGTTCCTTGTTTAGCATTACCATACTCTCCTTTGGCCCACACTATATGAAAGTTGAAGGAAAAGCCTTCTCACTCCAGAATCCTAAGAAAATTAGATGACACTAGCTACCACAGTTACATTGGGACAAATCAAAAAAGGGATTCTATTATTTTAGCATACAAGTAATCAAGTAAGTTTTCTCTTTTCCACAGTTACTGTTTTGTGAATTTGCCACTTGTCATGCCAGAACTTAAAAAAAGAGTTCTCACAGTCATTGCAGTTGGAAGGGACCACTGGAGATCCTCTAGTCCAGCCCTGCATCTCAATCAGGGTCACTTAGAGCAGGCTGCCCAGGACTATGCCCAGATGGCTTTTGAAACAGAGGAAGACTAGGCCAGTGTTTGACAGCCCTCGTAGCAAAAAACTGTTCCATGCATTTTAATTTGTACTTAATGACTCTGCTCCTGTTAATGGGTATTACCAAAAAGAGTCTGACTTCATACCATTCCGTCAGGTATTCATACTCATAAGATGCACTCCTCTGAGTCTTCCCTTCTCAAGGCTGAGTCTCAGCCCCTCCTCATGCATAAGATGCTCCAGTCCCCTTTGTGACTCTTTGCTGGACTTGCTCCAGTAAGACCATCTCTTTTTTGTACTAGGGAGCTCAGAACTGGACTTAGCACTTTAGATGTGACCTCATCAGTGCTGAGAACAGAGGATGGATCACGTCTCTTGATCTGCTAGCAATTATCTTCCTAATGCAGCCCAGGATGCTATTGGTCATCCTTGCAATGAGGGCACATTGGTTTATGCTCAACTTGCTGTCCACCAGGATCCCAATCCTTTCCTGCAAAGCTAACCAGTTGGTACCCAGCCTGCACCCTTACATGGGATTATTTCTGGCCAGATGCAGGGCCTCACATTTCCTCTTGCTAAACTTCAGGAGGTTCCTCTCTGCCCAATTCTGCAGTCTGTTGAAGACCCTCTGAATGGCAGCATAATCCTCTGGTATATCATCTACTCATCAGAGTTTTGTATCATCAGCAAACTTGCTGAGGTTATACTCTGCTCCATCATCCAGATCATTAATGAAGACACTGAATGACATTGAATCCATTTTTGACTCTGGGAGTACACCACTTGCCTCCTACTGGACTTTGTGCAACTGATAAACACCATCTGGGCCTGATGACATTCAGCCAGTTTTCAACCAACCTCGCAGTTCAGTTATTTAACCCATACTTTGCTTCTGCATTAGGATGTTACAGGATACAGAGTCAAAAGCCTTACCAAAGACAAGGAAAATAACACCCTGCTTTATTTTCTGCTTATGAGAATAGACCATTTTTGAATATCAACCATCTCTCTTGGATCTCTCTTCAGTACTGTATCCTATGGGATTCTTCCAAGCAGATCTCTGAGGAGGCCAAAGTCTTTTCTTCTGAAGTCCACAGCTGAGGTCCCGCTTTTTGTCCAGCTTCCTCCTCTCAGGATCCTGAACTCCACCACCACATGCTAAATGCAGCCAAGGCTCTCCCCCCAGCTTGACATCAACAACCAGTTCTTCCTTGTTTGTAAGCATCAGGTCCAGAAAAGCACCTTCCCTTGCTGGCATCTCAATCATTTGAGTAAGGAAATTGTCATCAGAGGCCTCCAGCAACCTCCTAGATCACTTGTGTCCTGCTGTTGTCCCTGCAGCAGATTATCAGCATTGTTTTAGTCCCCCAGGAGGACCATGGAACACAAGGTTTCTTCCAGTTGTCTGAAGAATGCCTCACCTGCTTCTCCCAGTCCTCCTCCATGCCCTTCCCTCTTACTGACAAAATCAAGTATAACATCATCTGAGTTCCCATGCACTTGATCATCACTCCAGAGCCATATATTCACAGAGAATACTTCCCAGGTCACCCCAACAGTATCATTGATGCCTATGTGGAAGAGCAGCCTCTCTGTAACATCCTGAACATGAGCTCCCAACAAGCAGCAAAGCTCTCTAGATGACAGGTTAAGTCAGCAGACAGATATCTATTTATTTATTTTTTTACCAGAATGAAATAAACATGTTTGCATGATGAGGAAAACATCTGCATTAGCAGCTGATCTAAATCCTTAGGCCATGTCAAGATATGGATTTTTATGTCGTCGGCTGTAAGCTACAGCAGATGGAAAAGAAATAATTTAGAATGGGACTAGACCTGTGTTGGCATTTATTAATGCTAACACTACTTCTTTAAGCAACTTACATTTGCAGCACACCTTTTCATCCAGATTCAATTCCCTCAAGCACATGGGTAAGACTAAGCAGCATCACAGCAAGCCTGTAAGCGGCATTCCCGGAAATGTTAGATGGAAGACAGAGGACCTGTTTTTTTCCCCTATTGGCTTTGTAAAAGAGAAGATGATAGCAGCCTCCTCCATTCAGAATTGGAAGCACTCTGCCAAGGGCATTAAGGTTAGAGGTTTTTACTTGTTTAATAAAGCTATAATGCATTTTTTTTTTGTCAACATGATAAATCTGTCAGTAGAATTATTTGGGGAAGACATTTTGAACACTGTCAGATCAATGGGCATTTTTATTTTTAAAACCACTTTATTGTCTATATAGCCCATTACCCCCACCCAAGTAATTTAGGCTTTAGTACATGGTAACTCGTCTTGCTGTTAAACTAAGTGGCAATATTAATCAACGTACTTTAATGCTTTTCCTCCTGCCTCCTGCAAATTGTATTGTACATTAATTACCAATGCTGCAGAGACACACTGGGGAGTAAGTAGCATTTGCAATAATCAGGCTGCACAAGGAACATCAGAGAAAGTGTAAAACACCCTTGCAAGCTTGGGAAAAAATACTGAAGTTTTCGTTAAGTGGTATCCCCACCACTGATTCTGGTTCT